GTGGTGTCCTCTTCTGGCCTGCAGGCATACATACAGGCAGAACACAGTATACATAATTAAATAACTTTTTTTAAAAAAAATGAGAAAAACAAGACTCAAAAGCTGGGCACACACTTTTAATCCCAGTACTCTGGAGGCAGAGAGAGGCAGGCAAATCTCTGTGAGTTTGAGGCCAGCCTGGTCTACAGAGTGAGTTCCTGGATAATCAAAGCTACACTGTTAAAAAACAAATCAAAAACCAAAAACAACAACAACAACAAACCAGACTGAGGAAAGAGTGTAACTCTCTCTCCTGGACCCCATAAAGAAGTGTACATCTTCTATTGGAAAGCTGATCTGTCATCTGACCAGATATGTGGATCAAGCGACAGACTACGAAAGATTCCCGACTGTCCCAGGGCCTTCAGGACAGCTCAGTCCCCTCTGTTGATTCTTGAATTGCCATCTGCCTTGTCCTGTTCACCCATCCAGACCTGAAATCCCCCAGTCCCTCCATTTGTTCATCTAGACCAGGCTAGGCCCCTTTGCTTCTGAAGCTGGACTGTATAGCTGAGGCTGGGCTACTACCTGATTCTCCTGCCCACAGCCCCAGCAGCCTCTCTCTCCAGCAAGGCCGCCTTCTGGGTTCTCTTATGAAGACAGAGACTCTCGTCTGGCATTCCTCAGCTTTGTGAATGACTTTCTTCTTCAAACTCCTGTAATCATTCTGTAACCTACACATATACATGCACAGAGACATAGTTCCTGTGTGGCTTGTAATGCGTAATCTAAGAGTTAATATAATAACTAATATAAGAATAAAAGAACCCCGGGTTTATCTCAGCCAGGGTGACTCCAAACAAACAAACAACCACAACAATAACAAAAAACCAAAAGTGTAAGTATTTGGCAAGTTGCTGCCAACAAAAGCTGAAGACTGTGCGTTTAGTATTATTTAGTAAGTCCCAACACTGTGGAAACTCGGAAACGTGTTCATCTATGATTCTGATGAAACGCTTATGACTTCAGTGTGTTGTAAACATTCCCTCAAGAGTTATAACGTGAACTAGGATTGGAAATGGTTTACAGAAGCAGGGATGGCTCCCAGTGAATAAGGTGCCCCTTCTGCCGTGAGCTTTCAGTGCAAAGAGGGCTGTCTCTGCAGAAAGCAAGCAGCCTCCCATACCAAGGCCAACCCTGAATCCTTCTCTTCATCGATGGACTGACTCCCCAGCCCCCAGAGCTGAGAAACCGTTGCTCACTGCTTTGCGCCTGAACCAATAGTACTCCTGGGCATTTTGCCAAGGTGTGTAAGTGTGTGCTTGGGACAAGCTCTGAAGGGAGCTGGGAGTCTCTTAAAGAACAGCAAAGGTGGGGATTTAACGCTGAGAAAGGTTCCTGCTTGGGAAGCTGTCAATCTTCATAGCACGGTCTCTTGCTTCTCTCCAAAATAACATCCTTTGAGTATTCCTTTCTCAATCAACCCAAAGGGAAGGTTGAGTTCTCTGAGAATAAAGTACAGAGATGAGGAGGCAGGGGAAGGGAGAGAGAAAGGGGGAGGGGAAGAGGGAGGGGGAGAGAGATTGAGGACACTACCTTCTTGAAAGATACTCATTCCAGCAGTCGACCTTGGCAGGGCCCCGATGGGCATTCGCAATTTTCTGACATAATTGTCTATTTTCGTATTCAATTTTGTCGATTCTCTTTTGTTCACCCTGGCAAGAAACCCCACGGCAGTGACATCACTCCCGTGCTGCCGCCACAGAGTGGCATGCAACACCTTCCTCTGGGACGTTGAGGAAAAGGGGGCACGTTGAGAGGCCTGGCGGAGCCCAGGCAGAGCTTAAGGGAACAGAGGGACTATGGGTGAGGAATGTTAATGAATCTTTAGGTTGGTGGGTATTCAGAAGGCTCTGGGGAAATGGGGTCTCTTAAGGACAAAGATGAGAATCAATAAAATACAGCCATAGGTGGCAAGAATACCTGGAGTTTGCTCAATTTTAGAATGTAATGTGTGTGCGCCATTGGAGGTTTGGTATCGACGGCAGGCTTCACTAGAGGACGAAAAGCATTGTTACACAGTAGGATCCTAGCAGCTTTAGAAACCCACCAGGTCACCCAACCCCAACCACTGAACATCCCACTTTGGAATTTTGACAGAGATCCAGACTAGCAACTTCAGTTAGGTTTAACCTTCCCTCCTGACATCTCTGGAGAACTCAGAGATGATAGAGTAGTGAGGGCTAATAATCTATAAAAACAGACGGGGAATTCAGTCAGTAGAGTGGCCAGCCTAGCACACCAGAGAGCCTGGGTTCAGTCCCCAGCACTACCTAAACCAAGTGATGATGTGCAGGCCTGTAATTCAGCATTCCATAGAAGATAGCCGGGGGACTGCTCACCCTTGATCCTCAGCCAGCTCCCGCCTCCCCCAACCCCCGGCTACGTGAGCCCCTCTCTCAAAATCCATAAAGACAAAGTTCCTTTCAATCCAATGAAATAACATCTTTTCCCCATCTGCTTTCTAACATTCCTAGAGAGTCTATTGGTGCACTGAGCTCATATTTTCTAACTTTGGCTCTAAAGAGTTTAAAAATTGGAATTCTTTCTAGCACACGAATGCTCAGGCAGAAGACAAAAGCTTGCCACTGACCGTGTGTTCCACATCACCCCAAAGCTATGGCTGCTGTAGTTTCCTGTCACTATCCTCTTTGATGGAGCCTTCTAGAACTCCAAATGGTGACAGTGGCCAGCGCCAGCTGCCCACTTACCTATTTGTACTCTATTTTTGTGCAATATGTAGTGGCCAAAGTCCAGTTTCTTCCTGAAGGTTGTGCTTTGCCTGTGATTAGAGACGATTACAGGATAGGCCAGATAATCCAGGGAATTGTTCATCTTCTCCTCCTAGTCTAACTTCAAAAATGAGACACCTGGGCTCTGCTGTGAGGGACTTAGCTCTCCCCATGACAAGGTGTCATAGTTACCCAGTTATGACATCAGGGACAAGTCTCAGTGGAGGAAGAGGAGAAGAGTATGCCTAGCTGTCTCTGGGCACCTTCTAAAAGTTTTCATTTTAAGTGGAGGTAAAATTTATATATGGTGATGGGGTGTGGAACAATCCGGTATTTATATGCCCTGTGTTATGATTCGATCAAGGTAAGTGGCACTTCTCTTCTCCCCTAAAGCATCAACAGTTCTGTGCTAAGTCAGGTCCACCTCAGGAGGCAGGAAAGGGGGCTTTGAAGCCTCCCACATGCCTGGAAAGTAGATGTTTCCAGGGCTGGAGGAGATAGGAAAGACATGATGTGGAAGCCCCTCCCTAGCACAGGCAGAGGCTTAAGAGGCAGGGCGGGATCTAGTCCACATTCTGCTCTTTGAGCTATGAGCTAAGAAGTCACAGTTCCCTGCAAGGTTTCCCTGAAGCTCTGAGACTATAAGCTTTACTTGGGGGAGTAAAACACTCAAAAGCTGAGTTAGTGTCACCCAGAGCGGTGCCACATGCTTGTAATACCAGAACTTGGGAAGCGGAAGCAGGAGGATGGAGTTCAAAGTTATCCTTGGTTATATAGAACAATCAAAGCCAGCCTGGGCTACGTGAGACCCGACCTCAAAAAACGAAAGTATGAAATAAAACAAAACCACAAAGAAAACGAACCTTAACAGGAGACACAATGTGGAGTCCTGCACTCCAGAGACTTTATTTACCCCTTTAGAGTTAGGGACTGGGCCATTTTCCCTGGCAACTGGAGAGACACTTTGAGTAAACTGAGATACTGTGCTCTCGGTGGAAACTTGGGAGAGGATCAGTTACTGACACCACGTGGCTCACAGTGGGATGGCAGCTGTAAAGGAGAGGCTGAAGGAGGATTTACCTCTACACTAGCCCATAGCCCATAGCCCAGGGCGCAGGCCCAGTGAGTGCTCAACAGCCACCAAGTGCTTCTGGAACCGCTACCGTCTGTTTACTCCGCACTGGGAACTGAGCTAAGGCTTTTGTGCACGCTAAGCACCGGCCCAGGAACCTCCTCAGCCTCTTGAATGTTTCTGGAATCTTTCCAGCAGTTCTCAGGAGTTAGATGTTGCATATTCTTTACTGCAATACTTGGGACAGAAATCTTTGGGATTTTACAATATTTAATACATACAGTGAGATATTTAGGGAGTGGGTCCAAGTCTAAACATGAAATCCATTTACGCTTCACATAAATATATCCTAACTATAGTTTTGTACAGTAAATTTTAGGGCATCTGTGTTTTGATTGTCATCCGTCACAGGTCAGGTGTGAGAATTCTCCACTTACATTGTGTTTACACTCAAAAGTTACAGGTTTGTAAACACTTCGGATCTCCAAAATTATAGCTGCTCAAACTGCTATGGTGACGTATATAGCCCTTTCCTCCCTTTTAGTCGCCAGCAAACAGGCTAAGATTAAGTAATCCCCCGGGGTCAGATGCCAAACCTGGCGACCTATACCTTCATCCTTAAAAAAGTTCAATGTTGATTCACATCAAACATTAAAAGAAGTGTCCCAGAGTAGAGCTCTCTCCTGTGACTTTGGGTAAGGATCCATCTCCTGGGGTGGGCAGGTTGTTCAGCAGGCGTGGATTGGGAAAATGGTCTGATATGTGGGCTTGGGGTGAGGGAATGAATGCCCAGCTGCTGGTGTGCAGCGAGAAGGGTTCACAGCAAACCCCAGGGGTACTCATTATTCTGAAAGAGCGACGCCGGGTGTACCCCAGGCGTCCCACATTGAGTTCAGTAAGTGGAGTGTCTGCGCTCCACAGCCTTAGCCAGGGTGAGTGAGTACGGGTGACACGGGAGTGACGACAACTCGGCCAGGGGCGCGCCCCGGGCTCCTGCGGCGCGTGGGTCGGTCGCGCGTGTCCTCTACGCAACGTTGAGCGTCCGCAGCTTCCCGCACCCAGTGGGCCCGCCTCCGGGGCGGGACGGGGTGGCTCCCGGTTGGGCAGCCCCGCCCTGCTGACCCGGCTTCTCCCCCTCGCTCGCTCCTGCCCCAGCGTGCAGGGCCCCGCCGCCGCCATGTCCGGCCCGTTTGAGCTCTCGGTGCAAGATCTCAACGACCTGCTCTCGGACGGCAGCGGCTGCTACAGCCTCCCGAGCCAGCCCTGCAACGAGGTCATCCCGAGGGTCTACGTGGGCAACGCGTGAGTCTCTGGGAAGGCTGACTCTACAGCCGCTCCCCGGGCGCCCCGGACTACTCGGGGACTGGAGTGGTCCATGGGGGGCGGGGTGGACCCTGGGCGCGGTCGCCGACCTGAGAGCAAGAGCCGGTGCTGGGGACCAGCCTGGAGTCGATGCCCGCTCTCCGCGCATGAAGCGGAGGAGCGGGACTCCGCATGCCCTGAGACGCCCCTCACCCCCCACCAAAGTGCCCGGCCCTGACCTCCGCCACTACCAGCTCTGGCTTGGGTTTGGGCGGGGTCAAGGCTACCACATTCTCTTAACAGGTGGCAGGGCTATCTCTTGGCCGCGCGTCATGTGACAGCTGCCTAGTTCTGCAGTGAGGTCACCGTGGAATGTCTGCCTCCGTTGCCATGGCAACGGGATGACGTTACAATCCGGGTGTGGAGCTTTTCCTGTCTGTGTCAGGAAATCCAAATACCCTAAAATACCCTAGAAAAGGAAGTAGCTGAGCCAAGGCTTTCCTGGCTTCTCCAGATAAGAGTTTGACTTAGATGGGACAAATCAAAATGATAAAGACCTGAGCCATCTGAAAATTCCTCCTAATCACATCACTAAAATGTGTATATTATTGATCTCATATACATATATATATATATATATATATATATATATATATATATATATATAATTAGTCATGCTATTAATAAGAATTTCTCAGCAGTGGGAGAGAACCAGTATTAACACCGAGAGAAAATCTGGCATGACCCATATTGCAGGATGGTTCACGTTGGATTTTCATGAGTGTGAAGACCCCATTTATCAAAGTCCTAAGCTCTGTTTTTGCACACCAGGAATCGATGGCCCTGGGTGGTTCAGGGGTTGTAAGGGTCTTTCAATGTCTTACATGTGTGTTTGCTGTCCTGCACCTAGGACCTGCTGCTTAGCCTGCAGCAGAGCCAGAGTGGGTTCACAGGACTGGTCCCAGACACTCGGGGACAGGTTAGCATGCACTGCACCCCTCATTTCCATATGGAGCACCTACTATGTGCCAAACACCATATGACGTTCACTCTTCGGAATGGTGGTGGTAATGATAGTGCATTTGCTGACTGTTGAATTAGTGGTCGAGAACTGAGATATATGGGCACACTATTCAGCATTCTGTCAACAAGGCTGTGCGTTCTTGCTCATGAGCAAGTCCTAAACAGACTCACAGGGTCAGCTTCCGGTTCTGTCACTGTGTAGTCTTAGGGAACCTCTCCCAGTCCTCCCTACTCCAGCTACTCAGGAAGCCAGAGGTCTTGGCAGCCTCAGGAGCCTGCTTGCTGGGGGACAGGTAGTTGAGTTTATCTTTAGTAGCTTCCCTAGGCATAGTGTCAGGAATGATGGCTGCCATGAGAACACATCCTTTGCCCTCTATGCAAATCTGACCTTGACATGGGGGGTGCTCAGCTGGGAGGATCAACTGCTTACCTAATGCCAAGAATTGTGCTCCCTCACCCACCCAAAACTCCTGGACAAAAGGGCTTCCAGCACATCCTCTCAGGCCTGTAAGGGAATCTGCGTGAGCTGCATTTTCCAATCTCAGGGCGTGAGAGGCAGAGGGAGGTGGGAGGCAGATTGTGGCTGAGTGTCTGGACTCTGCTTTCCTCCTCACTCTGGATCAGCAGCCCACGTGAGCACATGTACATCCCCCCCTCCTTCCCGTCCTGCAGAATTTAGGCCCTGTTCACTGGGGACCCTCCTATCCTCTCTTAGGGGCTGCCGTGACAGGTAGACAGGACCATTCAGGAGACACTGCTTTGTAAGGTACTGCTGTTTAAATTTGGATGTTGTGAGGGGAAATCGAAGGGCCCCTTTGACCATTCAGTCAAAGCACCTTCTAACTCCCATCATACTTTAGTGTTGAGACTGGGCAGGAGCCTCAGAACTGTAGCTAATAACAGTGTGGCAGGATTGATCCTTCAGGGAGCCTGACACATGAAAATTTCATTCTTCACCCATTCACCGGCCATTTATTCAGTACCTACCCTGTGACAGTCACCAAAGAAGATACTGAATGACAGACTCCTCAGAGAACTGACAGACTGAAGCCTTGGGATATAAACATCAAAGTATCAGGCTTTTGACAGAGCATCCCCCTTAAACACTCAGGACATCCCCCAAGCGTTGGCACTGCTATCCACATTCTACAGAGGGGGAAAACTGAGGCACGGAACGTTTTAAGTGGCTTGCTTAAGGTTGCCTGCATGGTAAATGGCAGGGCTGGATTCAGACCCAGACGTTCCGACTCTAAGGTCTATTTTTCTTTTGTTTCACTGTTTGAATCTGGGTCTTACTGGGTAAACTCAGGCTAGCCTCAAACTCATATTCTTCTCCCCTGGCTTCTGAGTGCTAGGATTCCAGGTGTGTGCTACCATGCCTGACTCTCTATAGCTTGTCTGTACTCTCCTCACAGCATAGGACCTGTAATGGCAACACACACACTGGAAGGAGCTGGGGAAATCCTGCAGAGAGCTCTGCAAGATGAGAGGCAAATGCCTACGCAGAAGGTGGGGAAGGGAGGCAGAGAGAACACATGGGCGTGGGACCACATGTCTATTTGGGGAAGCTGCCGGTAACTGTATATGGCTGGGGTGAGGGGAAAGGTCACGAGATGAGGCAGGAAGAGCCACAGGAGACAGCGGATCCAGGCTCCTTGCTTTGCCAAGAGACTCAGATCTTCCTCCTCTTCCTCCTTCCAAAACTGTGTCTTCATTTTCCGCTACTGCCTCCCATCCAGGTCTGTGGCTCAGGACATCCTCCAGCTGCAGAAACTGGGCATCACCCACGTCCTGAATGCTGCCGAGGGCAGGTCCTTCATGCACGTCAACACCAGTGCTAGCTTCTACAAGGATTCTGGCATCACCTACTTAGGCATCAAGGCCAATGATACACAGGAGTTCAACCTCAGTGCTTACTTTGAAAGGGCCGCAGACTTCATTGACCAGGCCCTGGCCCATAACAATGGTAAGGAACCTATATTCCAGCACTCCTGGGAAGAAAGCCCTCTGGGACCTGCTTCCTCCAAAGAAGCCCTACTTGAAAAAGGCTCCAGAAACATTCCAAAAGATGCTACTAACTAGGAGTTAAGTGTCCTACATGTGAGCCTCTGGGGGCTATTGCATAGAGTCTATGCCGTAGACAATGGATAATAATATTTTGGACATACAGAGTGCAGCAGTTAGGTAGCTATGCTTCTTTCCCTTTAATTTAGTGTGTTCCTGTGTATTCGTGTATGAGTATATATATGTATATGTGCATGCATGTGTGTGTGTGTGTGTGTGTGTATGTATGTGTGTATGTATGTGTGTATGTGCACATGTCATAGGTTGGTACTTGAACGATGTCTTCAATCACTCCCCACCCGACTTAGTTTTTGAGGCAGGATCTCTCCCTGATCCTGAAGCTCATTGATTTATCTAGGCTGCTGGCCAGTGAGCTCCAGAGATCCACTTTTCTCTACCTCCCTAGCCCTGGGACTGCAGGGGTGTGCTGCTATGCCAATCTTTTATTTGGGTGCTGGGGATCTGAACTTAGACACCTAGACCTGAACAGCATAAAGACTCTGCCACATCCCCAGCCTGTTTGATCAAGTGAGCCATTTCCCAGAATTCCCCCGGCGAGGCTTTCCTACCCTTTTGTTGGCTAGGCATTCATGAGTGACCACCTCACCAGAGAAATGAGTGGCCATGATGGCTCAGGGTCAGCAACCTAGAGATCCCGGGTTAAATCTTCCTGCCACTCACTCCCTGCAGCTGCAGACAGAAAGTGGGGCTGAAGGAAGGCTGGCTACTGGTCAGACAGGACAGAAGGATGAGAGGGCCACAGGGCAGATGTCAGCAGAGCAGATAGGTTCTCTGGGCTCTTCCCATCACATCTTCCTCCCTCTGAGGGGGAAGGGTGGCCATCTGCAGATGTAATTGGCCTTATTTGTGCCCCATAGAGGCTTCCTGGGTACACAGCAGCTTCCCTGTCTGAGTGATTCCCAAAGAGAACTCCCTACCCACTAGACCTATAGAAGTTCTATTGACTGGTGTAATGGTGAATTCATTAAACCACTTTGGCTCCCAGTAGATCACAGGTTGCATGTGGGAGGCATCCACCCAAGAACTCTCTGGGTAATGACACACACACACACACACACACATACACACTAATTTTGATATACCTTGACTAGCTCAGTGGTTGGGCACCTCTAAACCTCCCCGCGGTTACCACTCATTTCTCTCTGTCGCTCCTGGCTTAACACCTTCTAAATTTATATTTTATCTTTGCTGCCCTGTTACTTTCTGGGCACCTCCCCTGTAGGGCTGCTTCCCTTTCCACATACATTAGTGGATAGTTTCTCTCCTACAGCTCTTAAATCTGATCCCCCTGCCTCCAAGCCATGGCAACAGCCCAGTAACTGGCTTAGACCTAAAAATGTCTCTAGCCAAAACTTCAGCTAAATTTAGACAATAAATCTTGTTGGTCATGGAATCTTTAAGATTCTGAATACCCTCCTTCATATGGCATGAATGAAGGTTTATTACAATTGGCTATTGATCAAATTAACTCATAAAAGACAGTTGTCTTTCACCTACTCAGAGAAGGAACACAATTCATCCTTAACCGCTCTGTGCGCCTAAGATATGAGGGTCTTAATACTACTAAGGTTTTGGTTGTGAGATTCATATGTTACAGAATGTACAGCTTTTGGCAATTCTGTTTTGGAAGCAATTCTCTGGAAGCAGCTTGAGGAGGTAGGGGGCTGGAATAGGGGTCATTTCAGCATCCCGAGGATGAATCTTGCTGAAGGTGTAACAGACTGGGAAAGCTGTGGACTTTACAGCCAGGGCCTTCTGGTCCTCCTTGATCCCTGTCACACCCAAGCCAAGCCTTTCCCCTCCAGCCATCCTGCACTTCTCGCTCTGGATAGAGGGAGAACATGGCCCTGCTAGTTAAGGGAGTGAGGCTTTGCCCTCTCACATGGCAGTGGTTGGTCATCCCCGTCACCCCCATTCAGGGAACTCTGGAGCATTCTGCTTTCATTTCCTCTTTCTAGGCTACAGGGAATGTATGCTGACTTGTTTTGACCTCTCGTCTTGGTTTGTGGGGAGACTGGATCTTTGGTGTGGAACGTTCCCTGCTCATTTCTCCCCATCCTTTGGCAAACCCTACCTATATCTTACCACTAGGCATAGTGTCCCGTTTCTCCTCAGCAGCTGGTGTAGAATACAGGGTTCACTGCAGGTGGTTGCTGAACAATCAGGATGCATCCCCAGAACTCCTGTGCCTTGTGGGCACATTTCGAAGATAGCATGGATACTGGCCTTTATCCACTTGCAGGACTTTAGGGAACAGGAATCCGTTACTAAGAAAACCAGGAGTTGGGGGCTGGGGAGGTAGTTTAGCAGCTAAAGTGTTGGTGACTAACCATCAATACTAGAGTTTGGATCTCTAGAATACTCTTAAAATCTGGATGGGCAGTGTGGCCTGCCTGTAATCCCAGCACTCGGGAGGCAGAGACAGGGAATCATGAGAGCGAGCTGGCTAACCAGAATAACACAATACTGAGCTCTGGGTTCTGTGAGAGAGCCTGCCTTAACATAGAAAGGATAAAAAATTGAAGAAGACAGTCGATGTCAACCTTGAGTCTGCACACGCACACACACATGTGTGCACTTGAACATACACATGCACTCATGCAAACATGTATGCACACTCAGGCTAATCACACACATAATTTGAAAGAGAGAAAGGGAGGAGAGTGCACGTTAGAGCTCACAGAAAGTGTGAATAGGCACACACACATGCACGCACATACAGGCATGTGTGCCAGGGAGTGGGGAAGGAGCCTGGGTTTGTGTATAAGAGAGAGCCATCATGTGCTTCTGAGAGGACCTAAGGTTGTATGAAGGAGGTGTTGTGTGGGCTGGGCCTGGAGCATGCTAGGCTCTGTGTCCTGGTTGTAACTGAGCATGCTCCCAGTGGGAAGCAGGAGGGTGGCCGCCCTGTAGAGGGTCCCACTGTCCAATGGGATCAGGAAAAAAAACCCACTGAGGACTTTAGGTAATACCCAGAAAGACAAAGGTAGGAAAGTAGGGGGGGGGCTCCCATCTCCTGATGTAGGAGGATCTGGGGAAATAGAGGTGCATTTAGAGTAGGATGAGGGGTGCAGAGGAGATGCTGTTAATTCTGGGTTAGCAGTTTCTTTCCAAATAATGCCTGTGAGGAGGTGTAGGTGGTGGCCATTCACTCACTCAGCAGAGGGATGATGCCCAGTGGATACTGGAAATGGCAGAGCATCAATCCTGGCTCTGGAAGAACTACAGAGAGAGAGTGGATCTGTGTGTAGCCTGCAGGGTCGCAGGTGCTGGGGCCCCTGGGGGACTCCCAGTACTGGGTGATGTTTATTGAGTGCTCTTGTGTGCCAGGCACTAGCCTGGGGCTTTGTTTCTGTCTCTTTTGTTTTGTTTTGTTTTTGAGACAGACTCTTGCTATGTATCTGGGGCAATCTTGGAATCTCACTGCATAGCCCAGGCTGAGGAGAGAGGGGTGGGCAGTAGGCCTTGTAAGACACACTTCAGAGACTAGACTCTGCCCCAGGAATGATGACAGGTGTTCTGGAAAGATTTCCCAGCTGCCGGGTGGAGTGTGGAATGGCAGCTAGCGGCAAGAGTAGAGGGCAAGCTTCGTTTGTAGGAGGAGAGCATGGAGAAGTGCAAGCAAGAGATGGTAGGCAAGTGAGTTAAGCATTCTGTGTGGGGAGCAGGTGGATAGAGAAGCTGGGCTTTTGCCTCTGCGGAGGGTGGGGGAGAGGGAGTGAGGGGAATGGCTCCCTGCAGTGTGATGAGATTTTCCTGACAGTGACCTTTGGCTTCTCCCTTCCTCCCCTTCCCTTCTTTCCTTTCTTTCTCCCTTCCCTTTCTTCCCATCATTGCTTTCCTTGCCCTTGAAGAATTCTGAGTTTCCATTTCACTGGTGATGCAGACAGAACAGTGAAACAGACAGAAACAGAAGCTGTGCATGTGGCAGTGGAAACAGCTCATAGTCTGCAGGAAGGTGGGCAGGAAAGGATGTGCTGCAGGCTGAGGGCAGCATGGGATGCAGGGAGAACAGAGGAGGGATACCAGGGAGGGAAATTTGGGGAGCTACAAGAGGGCATTGTCAGTGTGTGTGTGTGGTTTGTATTTGCATTGGAAATGCATTCTTTTAAAAATGCTTTTCTATTTATTTATTTTTATGTGCACATGTGTGTGCCTGCATGAGTTTATATGTGCCTCATGTGTGCAGGATCCCTTGGAGGCCACAAGGGGCATATGATCCCCTGGAACTGGAGTTGTAGGAGGTTGTGAGCCACCTGACATGGTCGCTGGGAACCGAACCCAGGTCCTATGCAAGAGCAGGAAGTGCTGTTAACTGCTGAGCCATCTCTGCATCCCTGAAATCCATTCTTTTAAAATACACTTTGCAGAGATATAATTGGATTCAGGAAAGTGTATGAATGGATTTAATATGGGGGTCATTAAGTTCTTGCACAAGCAGCATCTGTAAAGCCATCACCACAACTGCGACAGTGAATGTGACCATCGCTTCACATTTGTCATGTCCCCTGTACTCTTCACCGTCCATTCCCAAGAACCTCCTGCTCTGCTTTCTGTCACTGGAGAGCAGTGTGTATTTTGCGTACTTTTATGTCAACAGAATCACACAGCCTGCACCTCTTCCTGGTCCCTTTCACTCTGAGTATTTGGGTTCCGTCTCTGCTATCACATACCACTGTAGTACATTCATTTTTTAAACATATTTTAATGTATTTGTTTGTGTGTGCATAGGTATGCCACATGCGTGCAGGTACTACATAGGCCAGAAAGGGGTGTGGGCGTCCCTGGAGCTGGAGTTGCAGGCATCTGTGAGCTGTCTGATGTGGGTGCTGGGACCCAAACTTGGATCTAAAGCAAGCACTTTTAACTGCTGAACCATCTCCATCTTCTTTCTCTTTCTGAGGCAGGGGCTTGTTCAGTAGCCCAAACTGGCCTTGAACTTGCAGTTCAAAATGACTCCTGTCTCAGCCTCTCAGAGTATTGGAATTACAGATGTGTACCACCACGCCTGACTAAATCATCAATTTTTTGATTGTGTGTGTGTGTGTGTGTGTGTTTGTGCACGCGTGCACGCGCTGGGGATGAAGGGATGACTGAACTGGGCATTCACGTGGAAGCCAGTGAACAATTTCAATCTAATGCTCTCCCAACTGAGCTATTCCGGCTTGCCAGAGAACCACTTACAGAAAGTTCTCTGTATCATGTGGACTGGAGGACATCGGCTCCTACTCACTGAGCCTTCTCACCACTCCCTACCTAGATCAGTAATTCTTTTTTAGAAAGATGTATTATTTCCCCATTTTACTGTTGATAGTCTTGTGAAGTACTGCTTAAGGACACTGAGGTCCTTGTCTCTCAGCGAAGGTGTATGGGTTGGCATGCCATTGCTGGGCAGTAGGGGGCGCAGGTGTTCAACTTGAGTAAATGTTGCCAGTTTCCCGGTGGTGGAGGACTTCTTCACACCCTGCCATCCCTGGTGACACAGTTTGGTCATTCTGGGTGGGAGCATGGTGCTATGCACACATCTCTCCTGTTTCTTGCAGGGCGGGTGCTTGTCCATTGCCGTGAGGGCTACAGCCGCTCCCCAACGCTAGTCATCGCCTACCTCATGATACGGCACAAGATGGATGTCAAGTCTGCGCTGAGTACTGTGAGACAGAATCGTGAGATCGGCCCCAACGATGGTTTCCTGGCCCAACTCTGCCAGCTCAATGACAGACTAGCCAAGGAGGGCAAGGTGAAACTCTAGGGTGCCCACAGCCTCTTTTGCAGAGGTCTGACTAGGAGGACCCTGGCTGCCATGCTTAGGAAACAGTGTACCCTGCTCCCTGCACTACCAGGCACTTGCCCATGTCTGTCTCACTCCGGTCTCGTGGCCACTCCACCCTTAGGGAGCACATGAAGAAGCTTGCTGAGGAAGCCATTCTGCTCCTTGGCTGTCCTATCCTGTAATTTATGTCTCTCCCTGAGGTGGGGCTCAGGGAGAAAACCTGTGGCATAGATACATCTCAGTGACCCAGGGTGGGAGGCCTGTAAGGGTGTATGGCCCAAGACACAGGCACGCTTCATGGTCCCCTTCCCCACCTGGGTTCTTCCTGAGTGGTCCAGAACCATGAACCCGGTAAAGGAACTATGCAAACACAGGCCCTGCTTGCTCCACGTCTGTCGCTGGTCCTCACAGCCCAACACAGCCTGCTTAGGCAGAAGCATGGTGTGAGTTCTGAGCAGAGTGGAGATAGATTAGTAACTGGATTTCCAAAAAAGAAAAAGATAAAAAGCTGCATTTTAATTATTTCCTTAGAATTAAAGATACTACATAGGGGCCCATGGGTAAGCAAATCTGTTTTCCCAGAGGGCTATCTTGATTCTTTGGAATGTTTAAAGTGTGCCTCGTTGGAGAGCTGACGTTCCGTATCTGCTGCTTACCTGTGGATGGCTCTGTTCCTTTGCTTGTTAGAAGAGCGATGCTTTGGGCAGGGTTTTCTCTTTTTTAGAATACAGGGTGCGAGGTCCAGCCTATTAAAAACAACAAACAAACAAACAAACAAAACCTCCATTTGGAGAATTCCAAGGGTTTTATCCTGAATTATAGTGTTGGTGAGCTCAAATCACCATGCCAAGTGCTTGTCATCCTGGTTGCTATTCTAAGAGTAATTAGGAGAAAGCTGCCAATTACAGCTTGTGTCCATGGGTGTGTGCATGGGTGCATATGTTGGGGGTGCCTGTCCCCTTGGGGACAGAAGGAAAACGAAAGGCCCCTCTGCTCACCCTGTCCATTTACGGGAGACTCTGAAGGTTCCACGGTGTTTGTGCAGGATCTCTGGAACTAACTCGCTGGACAGAAACGAGACTTGATGGCATCATCGAAATGGATCCCTCTTTTATTGGAGAGAGAGAAAAGAAAAAAACAGCCTTTTAAAGAACTTTTTCTAAGGATGGTTTTTGAAATGCGCTAGACCTCGTGTGTGTGCACATTTGCCAGAGAATGAACACAATCTTCTTGGGACTTCATGTTCTCATTATTTGTATGTCTCCAGGGTCACACAGAGCAGGGAGGTGGCTGTCAGCCACCACCCCAGCACCTGGCACATAGGCGTCTCATAAAAACCTGTTTTATGAGAACCTGAGCTGTTTGAGTACCCTGTGTATATAGAGAGTTGTTGTCCTGGGGCACCCGGATCCCAGCAGCCTGGTTGCCTGCCTGTAAGATGTCTTACAGAAGTTTGCAGAGAAATCTTCCTTGGAGGGAAAGAAATATCAGGGATTTTTGTTGAATGTTTGAAATTCAGCTTTTAGTGTGAGACTCAGCAGTGTTCGTGGTTGAGGTGAAGGATGTGCCTTCTTCAGGGCTCCTGAGGAGCATCTGGCAAGAGCCAGCAGAAGCAGACTGTCTTAGGGTGTCACTCCCAGGGTAAAGACCTCTGATCACAGCAGGAATGGAGCTGTGCAGCCTGGATGGTCATTATCCCCTATTCTGTGTGACCATAGCAGCCCTGGACACATGGGGCAGGTCACCTTTTTTTCCCAGAATGAAATGGCAATAGCCAAATTGTGTACTTCAGTCTGTAGTTTTCAAGTGGCTTTCTTGCTTAATACAGCTTGCATTTCAAAATAACCCTGTTAAGTTGACAGAACTTACTCATGTGTTATGAGAGGGAAAGAGAGAGGAGAAAGCAAAGCAAAACAAAACAAAACAAAACAAAAACATTTGGCTAGCCGGGCATGGTTACACTATGTCTACAGGCCCAGTTCAAGGGAGGCAGAGACAAAAAGACCACTGAAAGATCAGGATAGCATGGTCTACATATCAAGACTCCAGCCAGGCTACCATCCCAAGATCCTGGGTTTTGGGTTTTGGTTTACGGTTTTTGGTTTTTGGTTTTTGGGATAGGGTCTCGGTGTGTAGCCCTGGCTGTCCTGGAACTTGCTCTGTAGACCAGGCTGACTTTAGAGATCTGCCTGCCTCTGCCTCTGCCTCTGCCTCTGCGAGCTGGGACTAAAGGCGTATGCCGTCACTGCCTAGCTAAGATCCTGTTTTTAAAAAACAAAAAAATATTCAAGATAATTAAGAGTTGCCAGCTCTTTAAAGCTAAGTAAGCAGAAGTAGTTTCAGGCCTGCTGCTTGAGGAAGCTGGGCTGTTGTTGTCTTGGACCTGAAACCAGCCCCCAGCAATGTCCGAGTGCCCTGCATATGACTTTGAGCCATCTCCAGAGAAGGAAGTGAAAATTGTGGGTCCCTAGTCAGTTAAGACACAGCCTCTCTTTGTCCAAGTAACGCATGGTGACATGTGGTGTTGAACTCTCCACTCTGAGGCTGGACTCCCCTCCCCCTGCCTCATCTGAGTGACTACTCCATAAGACAGCCACAGGACAGTCACTAGCACCTCCCAGAGGTCTCTTTGTGGGAACATGAAGAAAAGGGCCTTTGGGAGATTCCTGGTTTTCCTTTGGGGCTGTTTGTTGAAAGTTCAGCATTTCTTGGTTGGCTTTACCCCGTGTTTATAAGATTAGCTACTATTCTTCAGGTAAAATACCCATGTTGTGGTAAAGTCAACCGCATGCCTGCCAGTGAGTAGGGTGGTGGGGTAGAGAATCCTGGAAAGTGTTCTATCCCTGGAAAGTGATGGAATAGGAATTCAGGGTGTCCCTCCCTCTTCCTCAGACCTAGTCACTTTCTGTGACTCATAAAAACCCAGGTAAAAATTACCATGTAAAAATGGTTTCTCTTGTCAATCTTAAAGTCTGCCTGCCTTTTCCAGAGGTAGGTCTGTGTCCTTGCTGTTCCATTATCTTGAGAGCACAGACTAACACTTTCCAAATGAGAGAACTCTTTTGGCCCACACTAAGGCTCTTCTGGGCTTCAGCTCTCTGAGTTGTTTTAATAATCCTCACTTGGCCTTTAGCACCCCCAGGGAAGTGGGCATGAATAATGCCATGGCCAGCAGGGGGCACTGTTGAGGTTGGTGCCTTTTTAGCCACAGGTTCACATGAAGTTGCTCATAGTATTTAAGACGCTAAATGTTTTAATCAAAATAAGCACTGATCTTAAATATGAAGATAAGAGATTTTCTCACAGGAAATTTTCTTTTTCATAATTCTTTAACAGACTTTATCCTGATCGTAGAGTAGAGAGAAGGATGGTTGGATATTTAACTTGTGTTTCTCTTTCCTCTGCCAGCTGTTAGGGTAACTTGTAAAAAGCAATTTTGTGGACAGAAGAGGTTCAGGGGAAAGGGGATGGAGGAGTGATGCAGAGCACTGTCACCTGCCTAGCATGGGGAGCCCTGAGTTCAATTCCTGCCACTGGGGAGGAAAAGAAAAGTTCAATATCTATTGTCTCACCAGTGTTAATGCACTATAAAATTGTAACCAAAATAAATGTCTTACCTTACAAAGAAGCTTGTTTTGTGTTTCCTTCTGTATATCTGGGCTTGTTATGTGTGCTTTTTCTAACTGCTGTGGTGGTGCTGTTGTTAGTTTTGAGGTAGGATCTCAGGTAGCCCAGACTGGCCTCAAATTCCAACTGTAGCCAAGGCTAGCCTTGAACTTCTGATTGCCTCTGCCTCTGCCTCTAAGTGCTAGGATTAAAGGCATATGCTACCACTCTAGTATGGCCTTTTTCTAACATTTAAAAATAATCACCTGGGTGGCTGGAGAGATGGTTCCAGGTAAAAGTGCACACTGCTCTTGTGTAGAACCTGAGTTTGGTTCCCAGCACCTGTGCTGGGTGGCCTCAGGTCCAGAGGATCCGGGACCTCTGGCCTCCACGAGCATCTGCACTTAAGCAAAAAACCCACATACAGATACACACATGATTAAAAATAAAACGAAGTCTTTTAAACACCACCTATAATCTAGCCCTTGGAGGTACCACTCTGGAAATCTGGCGTATTGTGTAAGTCTCTCCCGTGATGTTCTGGCTAAGGTAAGACATGTAGAGACAGAAAAGAACTCAGTGTGTGCCAGGAGTTGGCATGGGAGGAGAGGGATGAGTGGGGGGAGAACAGGGAACTTGGGCAGTGAAAATTCTTTGCAGGACACTAATGGAGGATACATACCAGTCATTGTACCCATGTACTGAACAACTCCAGGGAGTTATGCTGGGTGGAAAGAGACAACCCCAGGCATTGGCTGCACTGGTTGCATCTGCATAACATTTTTCAAGTTGAAAAATTTTGCAAATCGAGGTTAGATCAGTGGTTGCTGTGAGCTGAGAGATGGGGTGAGTGAGGCCTGTGGACATTTCCATCAAAGAGCGACAGAACAGGCTTTGGTGCCGTGTACCTATAATCTCCACACCCGGGAGGTGACCTGAGGTCAAGGTTAGCCTCAGCTAGCCTGTGGTGCATGAGACCCTGTTTCAAAATAATGAAAAAGACATCAGGGCAGATCCTTGGGGCCAGAGAGGTGTTCTTCATCTTAACTGTGGTGGTGGGTAGGCAAATCTTGTAAAATTGTGTAGAAGCAAATGCATAAGCATGTGTCATGGGTAGGTGTAGGCACACATGTGAGCGAGCACTAGGTAAGTAAGGGGGGATGTGAGTTTGTTGGTGCACTGCATGTCCTGGCTGTGGTGCTGTATCTTTGGTGAGCTGGTACCGTGGAGGGAAAATGGGTAGGGGGTATATAAAATCCTTCTGAGTTATTTCAAGTACATGTCAACTTACGATTGTCTCAAAATAAAGAAAAAAAGTAATATAAAAAACCTATCCAGGTGTGGTGGCGTGCACCTGTAACTATGGCACTTGGAAGCTGAAGCAGGAGGAGTTTGGATGTAGCTGGGGTTGTGCAGCAAGATCATCCCCAAACCGAACCAAACCAAACCAAACAACAAACCCATTACATCACACAAGAGTGTTTACAGTGGCCTCGCTGAGAGCAGCAGGCCAGAAATACTTTAAACTGCAGTCAACAGGGATCCACTGAGCCTGGGGCTTGATTCCAGCTTAACCTTGGGAGATGATAAGGTTTTTGTGTTAAGTAAATGCACCAATCACTGACTTAACCTCAGATGAAGAAAAAGAAAAAAGAAAACAACAACAATAACAACAACAAAAGCCAAACCAACTAACCAAAACCCCAAAACAGAAGGCAGGCACCACAGCAGGCTCTCAGAGCCATCCTGTGAAAGGGCAGGGCTACCCACTGGCCGAGAAGACAGGTCATTTGGCTCAGTTTCTCTGTATACTCTTATTCCTGTTGACACTACTTCAATTACAGATAAAATAACGAATAAACAAAATCTGGAGCCTGACCATCCTCTGGTCGACAGATTTTCCCCTCCATGTCCAGCAGGTGGCAGACGTGTTCCAAGGACAGGTCGCACCTCTGATTAAGGTGGTGAGCATCATCTCCCATCAGCAGATGGTGCTGTGAGGAACCATTCAAAGTGCTCACAGAATCCCAGCCAGGAGCTGCCCTCTCCCAAGTCTGCAGCAACAGGACAGCTTTCTGGCCACGACAGGGTTAACAGTCCACATTCCAGAGCAGAGGAAAGAGAGACTGGAGGTCACAGACAAAAGGGCCAGCTTCTAACAACGCCACAGCTCTGGTAGGAGAGATAGATCACCCCAACAATGGCCACAGCTGTTTTTGTCTGCCCCGAAGGAAACTGACTTAGGAAGCAGGTATCAGAGCCCCCTTCCTGAGGGGACTTCTGTCTGCCTTGTAAAGCTGTCAGAGCAGCTGCATTGATGTGTGGGTGACAGAAGATGAAAAGGAAGACGCAGGCAGATCGCCACAGATGGACAGGCCACATACAAGTCGAGGCAGGTGGCAGAGGCTTGCAGAGGCTCTGCAGGTGGACGGCACTGATTCATTGCCCAGTTAGCATACCAAGGCAAGGTGGACCGCAGCCTTCTTCCCAGCCTTCCTCCAGGGCTGGGGCGGCCTCCAACATTCTAACTCAGTGAAGCTTCCGCCAGTCCCTCCTCTTTTTGCACCTCAGGTGTGAACCCTCCCTCCTTCTCTCTGTGGCATGGCTCTCCTGATACTGCAGGCTGAGCATTGGATTTCTTTGTGCTTAGATGGTCCTGAAATGGCTTTCTCACCTGGTGTGTGTGTGTGTGTGTGTGTGTGTGCACGTGTGTGTGTCTCCCTTGGATCCTTCATCTAGGATCCAGAGCTGTTTATGATAATATAATGAGAGGCTGGGGAGATGACATGGTAAGAGTGCATGCTGTATAAGCATGAAGACCTGAGTTCGAATCCCCAGTGCCCATGTGGAAAAGTAACCTTACAACCTCAGAGTTTGGGGAAAAGGCTTGTGGATCCTGGGAGCTCACTGGCCAGCTAGCCAGCCTAACCTAAATGTCTCAGTCAGAGATCCTGTCTCAGGGAATAACTAGAGAGAATGACTGAAGAAGACACACCTCCTCAGGTCTCCCACGCATCCACACAGATGTGTTTAACACACATACACACACACACACACACACACACACAGAGAGAGAGAGAGAGAGAGAGAGAGAGAGAGAGAGAGAGAGAGAGAGAGAATGTAATAAGCTGAGAAATGGTAGGGAAATGATTTTTGCTAAGAAATGAAATTCTGTGTTGGCCAGAGAAGGAACTGCCTTGGGCACACCAGCCTATAAGTCACCATGAGTTCTCTGGCTAAGAATCACATGTGACGGATCCCAGGTCCTTCTTGCCTGGTGGCCTTGGACCTCTCCCACTGGTTTTGAAGAGAAATCCAAGAGAGGCTTCCTTGGTCAGAATAGTTGGTGCTGAGCAACACAGAGTTGGGGCCAATGGGATTCCTTTAAAAGCATCCTTCCCAGGGCTGGGGCAGAGTTCAGTGGTAGAGTCCTTACACAGCAAGCATGAGACCCTAGGGTAAATTTCTCAGACCCCCTCCCAATAAAAAAGGCATTCTCTGCCTCTGGGTGAGGAGGGGGAGCAGACACTGTTAATTGAGACCATTAGCTGGTGGGGTAACAAATGAACTTGGCTAGAGGAATTTGGTCCGATGGATTCTGCCTTCTGCAGAAGCTCCACTTGTTTCCTTTGTTAAGCTGGCCCACAGTTTGTTTTGAGAATGCCTGAGGGGCCCAGGGAGCCAGACAATTAAAAGCCAAGCTCATTTTGATATCTGAAAAACCACAGCCGTCTGCCCGTGGGAGGTGCTGGGAGAATGGGCTCTGTCCCTGCCCCACCAACCCCACCCCCACCCCCACTCCTCCGGTCACCTGGGAGTGCCAACAGCAATTTGGAAGTTTGCTGAGCTTGAGAAGTCTTGGGAAGGGCTGACACTGAGCACACCCCTTTCCCCCACGGGGAGGAGGGTGAGGAAACATGGGACCAGCCCTGTTCCAGCCCATCCTTATTGGCTGGCATGAGGCAGAGGGGGCTTTAAAAAGGCGACCGTATCTAGGCTGGGGACCGGAGCCTGTGCTACTGAGTGCCCCCTCCGTCTGGCACCATGCAACTCTCACTAGCCCCATGCCTCGTCTGTCTGCTTGCCCATGCTGCCTTCTGTGCTGCGGAGGGTCAGGGGTGGCAAGCCTTCAAGAATGATGCCACAGAAATCATCCCCGGGCTTGGAGGGTACCCCGAGCCTCCTCAGGAACTAGAGAACAACCAGACCATGAACCGGGCTGAGAATGGAGGCAGACCTCCCCACCATCCCTATGACACCAAAGGTATGGGATGGAGGAGCATGTTAGCGTGGGGGTCCTGGGAGGTGACTTGGGTGGCTTTAGAATCTTCTTTGGAGGTTTGTGTGGGTGATTAGCCTCTGCCACATCAGGGGAGGTACAGACTTGCCTGGAAGAATACTAGCACGGCGTTAGAATCTGGAGGACAGGGTTGGGGGCTGGCAGTGAGCACCCAAGGCAGGGTGGATGCTGAGGTCAGCCAGAGGTGGCATTAACACAGGCAGAGACTCTCCTGAGGATGAGGACACAGGTCAGATCTAGCTGCTGACCAGCGGGGAGGTGACAAGGTGAGGCTGGTAGCACCTGCTGGATGCCAGATGCCATGGCTGTATTATACCCCACATGACCACCCCAGGAGGTGAAGAAGGCCCTAGCTTGAAGGTGGAAAAACCAAGCCTCCTGAGATAAAGTCACCTGGGAGTAAGAAGAGCTGAGACTGGAAGCTGGTTTGATCCAGATGCAAGGCAACCCTAGATTGGGTTTGGGTGGAAACCTGGAGCCAGGAAGAATCCTGTTAGTTTCCCTTGCCCATGGTCTGCCTAATGAGCCCAGTGGACTAGCATTAAAAGAACAGGGTTTGTAGGTATGGTTTTAGCATGTGACATGAGGGACAGCTGAGTGAAGCCTCCCCTGTATGGGCACAGGTGGCACCATCTGCCCTGCGCTTGCACCCTGACCCCAGCTTTCCTCATCCCCGAGGACAGCAGAGCCTGTGGAGGCAGGCCTGCCCAGAGAGATGCCTG